GCATAGGAATGTGCATCGACATCTGAATATAGCTGTGTGCAAAATGCCTCTAGCTAAGTTATAGCAAATTCAATGTAGGAAGGGCAGAGGTTTTCCTTTGGCTACAGGAACCAACTCTTTTCTAATTCCCATCTTTGCTTTTTTCTGCTTACTTCTAGGAAGTTACTTTGCAAGAGATGCAAGTTATTCCCATAATTACTCGGAGTCGGAGACCAATGTCAAAATAATGTTTCTGGCTCGAGTTCTGGTTGGAGTTTTCACTCAAGGAGATTCAAAATACGTCCGGCCGCCAATGCGACAGGGTACACAGAATACCTTTTATGATAGCTGTGTCAATAACAGATTTGATCCCACCATATTTGTGATCTTTGAAAAGCATCAAATATACCCAGAGTATGTCATAGAGTACACAGAGAAGAGTAAACAGTGCACCATTAGTTAAGGCAAAAAAAGTCACTGTTTCCTCAAGTGAATAATTTTGTGTGTATGTGTGTGTGTGTGCGTGTGCGTGTGTGTGTGTGTGTGTGTGTGTGTGTGTGTGTGTGAATAGTATCAAAGTAGCTTTTTTACCTTCCTGTTTTTAAGGAAAGCAGTAAGTGATCATCTGGGACAGCAGTTACTCATAACTGAGTTGTAAAAGTCTTTTGTAGCAAATAGGTTTATGAAAAATCATATGTAACATAATTTCCAGAAGTAGAATCCTGTTATAAATGCGCCCAAGGAACTCACTATTTAAAGATATGCAGCATTGAATCATGATGCAAAGAAAAGACCAACAACAAACCTTTGAAGTACAAAAAGTCACTGCCTAATTTATCTGTTTTCAAAGTTTGGGTTTTCGCTTGAAAGATTTTCATAAAATGGAGGAGTTTGTTTTTGTTTTTGTTTTTTGTTTTTTTTGTCTTGTAGCTAGCACACAAATGCAGGGAACCTCTTTTAGTTACTCTCCATTGTTTTACAGAGCTGGAGAGCTGAGGATAGACAACCCGATAAATCCATAAACATTTATTAAGCACCAGCTATGTACCAGGCAATGTGCTAAGTGCTAGGGATACAAAGAAAAGTAGAAGATAGTCCCTTCCCTCAAGCTCACAGTCTTAATGGTGGAAACAACATGCAAACAACTCTACAAATCAGCTCTATAGGGGATAAATTGGAAAAATCAACTAAGGAAAGGCACTAGAATTAAAGGGAATTAGAAAAGGCTTCTTGTAGGAAGAATGACTTTAGCTGGGACTTTAAGGAAGCCAGGAGACAGAGATGAGAAAGGAGAGCATTCTAGGTATGGAAGACAGCTAGAGAAAATGCCTGGAGCTGAGAGGTAGAATGTCTTGTTTGTGGAATACCAAGGCAAGAGTGTCACTGGACTGATCCACTGAACGGCTGGGTATAAGGTGTAAGAAAACTGAAGTAGGAGGAGGCTAGATTATGAAGGACTCAGAATGCCAGACTGAGGCTTTTGTATTTGATTCTAGAGGTGATAGGGAGCCACTGGAGTTTATTGTCGTCCCGGGTGACATGGTTGACTTGGTGTTTTAAGAAAATCACATTGGGGGCAGCTAGGTGGCACAGTGGATAGAGCACCGGCCCTGAAGTCAGGAGGACCTGAGTTCAAATCCAGCCTCAGACCAAACACTTACTAGCTGTGTGACCCTGGGCAAGTCACTTAGCCCCAATTGCCTAAACAACAACAACAACAACAACAAAAAAAACAAAAAAAATGTTTAAAAAAAGGGGCAGCTAGGTGGTGCAGTGGATAGAGCACCGGCCCTGAAGTCAGGAGGACCCGAGTTCAAATCCAGCCTCAGACCAAACACTAGCTGTGTAACCCTGGGCAAGTCACTTAACCCCAATTGCCTAAACAACAACAACAACAAAAACAAAACAAAACAAAACAAAATGTTAAAAAAAAAAAGGGGGCAGCTAGGTGGTGCAGTGGATAGAGCACTGGCCCTGAAGTTGGGAGGACCGAGTTCAAATCCGGTCTCAGGCCAAACACTTACCTAGCTGTGTGACCCTGGGCAAGTCACTTAACCCCAATTGCCTAAAAAAAAAATCACATTGGCAACTAAATGGAGAGTGGACTGCGAGTGGAGAAACTTGTGACAGGCAGATTGACCAGCAGACTATTGCAGTAGTTCAGATGTAAGGTGATGAGAGCCAGGGTGGTGGCAATGTCAGGGGAGAGAAAAGGGTATATTCAAGAGATGTTACAAAGATAAAATTAATGGCCTTAACTTCTAACAGATTAGAAGTTGGAGGAGGGGTGAGAGAGGGAGAAGTCAACAATGACACCTAGGTTTTGAGCTTTTGTGACTAGGAGGGCAGTTATACTTGATAATAATAATAAGGAACATTTTTGGGGGGAGGATTTTTTTGGGAAAGAGAGTGAGTTCCATTCCGGACATATTAAATTTAAGATATCTATAGGACATCCATTTTGGGATGTCTAATCAATTGGCAATTTAAGACTGGAGGTCAGCAGACAAGTTAGTGTTGGATAAGTAGATTTGAGAATAATCAGCATAGAAATGATTATTGAAGTCTTGGGAGCTGATAAGATTCCCAAGTAAAATCATATAGAGGGAGAAAAGAAAGCCCAAGACAGCCCTGTGGGACATTCAGGATTAGCTGGATAAAGATCCAACAAAGAGGTATTGAGAAGAGGAAGTCAGATAGGTAGGAGGAGGACCAGGATAGAATAGTGTCACCAAAAACACTAGAGAGAAGAAAGTATCAAGGAGAAGCAGATGATCAAGAGTGTCAAAGGCTGCAGAGAGGTCAAAAAGGATGAGGATTGAGAAAAAGCCCCAAGATCTGGCAATTAAGAGATAGTTAGTAAATTTGGAGATATCAGTTTTGGTTGAATGATGAAGTCAGAAGCCAGACTGCAGAGAGTTCAGAAGAGAGTGAGAGGAAAGGAAGCGGACAGCCTTCTCAAAATGTTTAGCAACAAATGGCAGGAGAGATGTGGAATGAGAGTTAGTAGGGATGGATGGATCAAGTGAGGGTTTTTTGAGTATGGGTGAGACATAAGTATGTTTGTAGGTAGTAGGCCAGTAGACAGGGAGATTAAAGACAAGTGAGAGAATGGGGTTGATAGAGGAGGTAATCTTCTGGAAGAAGATGGATTGGAATAGAATCACCTTGGCAAGAAGGACCGTCTCTTAATATGAGATGAGGGGATGAGAGAAGAAATAGTGGCAGAAGGTGAGTGGGTGATGTGAGATGAGGAACAAGGGAGAAGAGAGAGCTATTAGTAAATGCCTCAATTTTTTTTTCAGTAAATAAATCTTTTTTTCCTGGCTTCTCTACCTGGTTAATCTTACATGTATCACCACCTATTTATGTATTTGCTTCATGCCTAAACTTGGGATTAAAGTAGAAACTTTGAAAAAGAGCCAGAGTTAAGATGCTGGGAGCTGCTGTGATGGAATTCAGTGCCTATTTAACACAATGATTGGTATATTTCTTATAATAGGGCACTAATTTATTCCTTGCTAGCCTATGCTGGAAGGCTCAGTTTAATGCATCATGACTACTGGAAAATGGATAGGGGGCTATGCTTTTTAAAAAACTCTTTATAAGTCACGCTCCAAAAAATCTTATAATGGTATTTGGCAGTATCCTGCCCATCTATACAGTTATATGTGGGAATTCCCTTACCTGAGAAGGGAAAACTAGGAAAAAAACTTCCTAAACTTCATTCTTTCACCCAAACCTAGCTCCCACCACACTTTTCAGACTGTTGCCACAGTCTGGTCTTTAGCCAATGAAAACTTAATTTAAGAACATTATTTTTTAAAAAATACTTTTATTGATATTGTCAGCTGGACTCAACCAGCCTCTAACCTGTGGATAGCAGAGCTGAACAGAGCAGGTTAGAGACAGGAGAGTCAGGAATCAAACAGAAGTTTAATTTCAAAGTGAGGGAAACAGCTTGCAAGCAAGGAGAGGATCTAGACACATGTGTCGGAGCCCTGTACCTAGTGGGGGTCCCGCTTTAATGTGGCCTAACTGTTATTTCTATATTCATGGCTAGACAAAGAGTCAAACAGTATAGTGTAGCATCAATGGTCAGGCATAATAGCAACAGTGAGGCAAGGCTGTCTAGGGACAAAAAGTCCATTCATAGCAGGGCTTGGTGCTTGTCCGAGCTCAAGGACCATGAGTTCCATGATTTAGTTGCAGCAGTGTTCGTCCAGAGGGTAAGCGCAAAAGATTGTTGTTATGCCAAGCTCAGGGCACAGCTTGCTTGCTGGACCTTGGCTCTGGAAAACAGGGTGGCTCCTAATAGTATCCTGACAATATAATAACTAAAGTATCCATGATCTGATCTGTGTGATTACTCCTTCCGTTAGGATAGTTTTCAACCCATCTATATTTTTTCATTCTGCCTGATTTTTGTCCATGTTTTTCCAAAGATCCTCCATACTGGATTTCTCAGTGTGCTAAAGGCCTGTCTCTGGTCTGTCTACTTGGCATCCCTAACTTTCACTACATGATACTTCCTATTCCATACATACATGTAATTCTAGGATGATATCCCTATGTCACTTACTGCATGCAGGTCATTTTACTGAACATAGTACAGTCTACTTATGCCCATCAGGTGTCTCTCCATTGCCCTTTTAATCTTTATTATTTAGAAATGGTGGTGTTTTTTTTTAACAGATTTGTAACTGTACAGCATCAAAGGGGAAAAAAAAACTGATACTAAAGAGATGGCCTTTTGTGTTGCGAGTAGCTTGGGATCATTGAAAGCAGTGGAAAGTTTTCCAGCCTTCATTCTTCCTCCTAATCAATTCTATCCTCAGCTCGCTGACCATATGCAGTCCCTGTCCTAGATAAACATACCAATGCATTATCTTCATGGAATATTCCCATCTGTATGTTATAGTCTGAAAAAAAGGCATTTCTAAAAATCCATTTGTTTTTTCCTGAATAGATTGTTAGGCCCATCCCTTTTAAATAGCCATGGATCTCTTTGAGGAGGAGGTCATGTAATATTTTGGGACTTGATGCATTTCCCATAGTTGCAGGAACATCATTCATCGCAGGAACATCTGGAGGATCTCACCGACTATAGTTCACTTGGACTTCGCAGGGTCTCTTCCACAACAGTAGTGAATACTTTCTTCAAACATATATTTCCATGTTTGATGCCTTACTTGATATTAATAATCTGAAGGGCAGTGATGAAGAGTTAGCACTGTGGTTACATTAATCAAGGGCTCTTTTATAATCCTTATACATGTATGAGAGAGTCATAGGATCCTAGGACTCTAGGATCCAGACTAAAGCCTAGAAGGGATCTTGGAGGCCATACAATCCAAACTCCTCATTTTACAAATGAGGAAACTGAGGCCTAGAGAGTTAAGTGACTCATCCAGGGTCATACAGCATACAGGTGATAAAGATCAGAGCTAGGATTTTAATCTCCGTCCTCTATCTCTAAATCCAACTCTGCCTACTGTACTATGCTGCCTATCTCTCTTCCTTGTTAGAAGAAATCCAGTAAGAAAGTTTTCATGATAAATAGACCTGAAACTTTTGAATAGTGTATAAGCTTTTGGTCTCTTTTGTGTCTTTAATGAACCATTTTTAAACTTTTAAAATATTTTACTTATGTTCTTTTTTGGTTGTATCAATATCACTTCCCTGTGATAGCCACATCCCCCAATACTACCCTCTTGGAACAAATAAGTGTAGTCAAACAAAATGAATCAACAAATTGGCCATTTGAAAATGTATGCCTTGTTCTACACTTGTAGTTCACCACCTCTCTGCCAACAAATAGCAGGTGGAGCTCTCTGACTATTACTGTCATTGAAGTTATTCTCTTGTTTTTTGCTTTCTTAAATTTCTATCCTTGAATA